GAGTCTGGAGTCTGCAGTCTGGAGTCTGGAGTCTGGAGTCTGCAGTCTGTCTGTGGAGTTTGCATTCTGGAGCCTGGAGTCTGCAGTCTTGATTCTGGAGTTGGCAGTCTGGAGTCTGGAGTCTGCATCGGGAGTCTGGAGTTTGCAGTCTGGAGTCTGCAGTCTGCAGTCTGGAGTCTGCAGTCTGGAGTCTGCAGTTTGGAGTCTGGAGTTTGCACTCTGGAGCCTGGAGTTTGCAGTCTGGAGTCTGCAGTCTGGAGTCTGGAGTTTGCAGTCTGAAGTCTGCAGTCTGGAGTCTGCAGTCTGGAGTTTGGAGTTCGCAGTCCGGAGTCTGCAGTTTGGAGTCTGCAGTCTGGAGTCTGCAGTCTGGAGTCTGCAGCCTGGAGTCTGCAGTCTGGAGTGTGGAGGTTTCAGTCTGGAGTCTGCAGTTTGGAGTCTGCAGTCTGGAGTCTGCAGTCTGGAGTGTGGAGTTTGCAGTCAGCAGTCTGGATTCTGGAGCCTTGATTGAGTCTTGCAGCCTTGCATCCGCGCACTCACAATCCAAACATGCAAAAAATCGCAAGGTGCCATCAGACAACCGCTTCAAGTGCCATCTCGAAATGAAAATGAACGTGGCAAAAAAAGCTTGGCGGACCGGCCGCCAGCGGAACCACCGCTACAATGATATATCATCAAACGAGAAAAGCAAAATGGGCGGACCGGCCGCCGGCGGAGAAACCACCCCATGCGACTATATGAAGGCGGACCGGCCGCCAGCGGAGACACTATATAGAAACGATTATCGCACAACAAAATTAAACCGAGTCAATCAGTGCAAAAAATGCTCCGGCTCCATCGAGCCAAGCGTGCGAAGCAGCGCGAACAAACAGCGTAAACTGCATGCGCGCGCGCCTGCCCTGCTGCGTTGAGTCACACGAAAATGTGTGATTTCCAGCGCGTAATGCTTCGTCACTGCCATGCTTCAAAACGCATGTGTTTGCAAACTCAATGAACTTAGAATGAACTTAGCGGACTTAGAAAAACCTCTTTTCTAAGTTCAAGATAAGTTACTTATAAGTCCAAGCTAAGTGCTAAGTCACTTATAACTCCAGCGTAAGTACGACCCTATCCCAGTATATATCTCTCTACCTATCGGTCGTGCTAATCAATCTGATCTCTTTCTATCTTTCTAAAAAACAACTTCCACATTTCTCTCTGTCTAACGTGCGAAAGTGCTGCTCATGCCACGGAATTGTATGATTGACCTCGCGAAGGTGCTGCGCCTGCCACGAAATCTGCACCTCGCCTTGCGAAAGTGCTGCGCCTGCCACGCAAAACTAAAACTGCGAAGAGCGCGCGCATCCGTGCCAAAGCACCGAAACCCGGAGAGGGCTGTGCATTTAACTTTTTCACATTTTTATTCCCCACGCCACACGTGCGCTTTTTTAATATCCCGAGTGGCTGTTCCTTCTCTTGGAGTCTGTCTCAGAGAGCTAGCTTTCAACTGATTAGTTGCCGCAACGCGGAATTCCTAAACTTCCTCTGAAAATAGGTGGACACTGCGGTACAAATTCAAACAAGCCACAGCCGGCAAAGAAAGACGCGTCTGCTATGTCTACATTGTAGCCTGAGTCGAAGCATCTGGTAGGTTCACATTGCAGGCGGGTCAAGGGGTAAAAGGGGCCCTGAACACCACAAACAAAGAAGTAATCATAAGACTCCGTTGTGTCAAGAAGGTAACAGTTCCCTGCTAAACACCGCAAGAATACGCAATCAAAGGCGCCACAATAGCCACAAAGAAGAAGCATCTCGTACGTCTACATTGCGAATGGTGCGGATGGTGGGGATGGCGCGGATGGCGCGGATGGTGCGGATGGTGGGGATGGTGGGGATGGCGCGGATGGTGCGGATGGTGCAAATGGTGCGGATGGTGCGGATGGTGCGCATGGTGCGGATGGTGTGGATGGCGCTGATGGTGCGGATGGCGCGGATGGTGCGGCAGACGCGGATCCCGCCCGCAATGAAATTCGGCCACCGGACGTGATCGGGCCGCAAGCGCGGAGGGCTTACCTTCAGGTATAAGGCCGTCCGCCCCCATGCCGCCGACCAGGAAAGGACCATGCGCGGACCATGAGCAGAACATGAGCATAATAAGGGGCGAAGGATTCCTGGATTGGCTTAAGGCTTAAGCGATTTCCGAGGATTTTTGTAGCATCTCCCCGCGGCGTCCAAAGCGAAGGGGAAATGCAGGGAAACTGGAGGAAGTGAACGAAATGGAAAGGAATTGCACGAACACGACGAACATGAAGAGGGCACTGGAGAGAAACCAAAATGCAGAGCCAGGACGGGAACGAAAAGAAATTGCTGGAAATTATGGGAAACGAAGAGAAACTGAAGAGAAACTGAAGAGAAACGGATGTGCAGGAAACTGACGTGAAATGGGAAGCGAGGTTGAAGTCACGGGAACAAAAAAGAACTAAGGGAAAGGAATGCGAATGAAGGGGCGTTCAAGGAAATGAAAAGAGCTGAAACGGAAATGAAGCGAAAGGAAGTGAAGGGAAATGCTAGGAAACTGTCAGACATGCAGGGAAGACATGCAACGGAAGTGAAGTTCAAATCCCGGAAACTAACGGGAATTAAAGGAAAAGGAAATGAAAGAACGGGAAGGGCGTGGCCGGCTGTGTTGCGTCAGCGTGTAAACCCGGCCTCGCCGTGCAATTTCGCCCCAAGGGGCGCATGCCTAGGCTTTGCCTTCCGACTGACGATCGCTGCCGCCGACCCCTCGCATCGTCTGCACGCCCAGCGCCTTTGGATCATCACCGTCCGGGCGGCCATTGGAGCTCGAGTTGGCGAAAGGCTCAAAACACTGCAAATATGCAGCAACTCGGCTGCAGTGCCAGCATCACCGAGGCTTGCGGAAGCCCTTGTATTTCACGCATCGCCTGCATCCCTTGCATCGCCTACAATTGGGGCCATCCTTGCACGCGCGCGTGCGTGCGTGTGCGTGTGCGCCCTCGCGCGGGCGCGGGCGCGTGCGCTTGCGCGTGCGCTTGCGCGTGCGTTCGTGCACGCGCGGGGGAGGGCAGGCGGGCAGGCGGGCGGGTGGGCGCGTGTGAGTGCGCGCACTCTCCCAGGAATCCGTCCATCCATCCATCCGTCCCCCATCCCATCCATCCATCCATCCATGCATCCATCCATCCAGCCTCCCTCCATCCACCAGCCATGCGTCCAGCCATCAAGCCATCTATCCATCCATCCATCCATCCATCCACCCAACCATCGCGCACGGCTCGGTTCTTTGGACTTTTGCTGTCAATTTTAGGCCGGGTCATTTCTAGACAGATGAACTTTACTCCAATTCAGGTCGAGCATTTCTTGTTCCAACATACCTAGAACTTCCTGCGGCGGAAACTTCTGCCGCAACGCACTGCGGCGGAAATTCCCGCCGCATTCCAGACAATCAGCCGCAAACAGAAAAGAACGCCGCAACCAAAACAAAAACGCCGCAACACCGTTTGCTTTCCGGGAATTTCTGCCGCATTCCCGCCGATTTCCGCCGCATTCCCGCCGATTTCCGCCGCAAATTGGGGGTAGAAAAACTGAAACAAGTTCTGCCGCAATTCAAAAAAGAGCCGCAAATCAGGAAGAAATGCCGCAACTCCAAAAAGGCGCCTTTTTTGATTTGCGGCAGAAATTTCTGCCGCAACAAATCTCTAGGTATGGTTGGAACAGGCTCCGAATCAGGTCAGGGCATGTTTAACTGCGTGCGGAGTGTAACTTGCAAGCGCAATGAAAATAAGACAGCTTCACAGCCTTCCCGCGTCTCACGCTCTACAGCTGCGTGTGGCACGTAACCCGCTGCAAGCGCAGTCAAGATAAGACAGCGTGACAGCCTTCCCACGTGTCACACTCTACAACTGCGCGAGGAATGCGACTTGCTGCAAGCGCAGTCAAGATAAGAGAGCATGATGAGTTGCCCGCGCGTCACACTCATTCTGCAAGCGCAGTCAAGACAAGACAGCGTCACGCGTTTCCCACGCGTTACACTCCACAACTACGCGAGGAATGCGACTTGCTGCAAGCGCAGTCAAGATAAGAGAGCATGATGAGTTTCCCGCGCGTCACACTCAACAACTGCGTGTGGAATGTGACTTGCTGCAAGCGCAGTGAACATAGCTCCGGGCATTTTCTAAATACATCAAAGCATCCTAAACAGACAGATGCGGAAAACGCTCCAATGCATTGTCTCATGCAAAACGTTTCGAACGTGACGTCATACAAAGGCTCTTGCACACCCAAGTTCTGTGGGCAACATATGTAAAGAAGGCATGAGGAAGACATTCCAAAATGCCAAGCACTGCTAGAGCGTGTCACAAACGAGAAACGACACACAATTATTGGACAATAATTGCAAGACGACGTCAGACGACGTTCTAATACTTGGAAACCCAGTCAGTCAAACTAGACCCTTGATGCACAATTCCATTAAAATGTCGGGAGGACGATACAAGGACAAAGTGGTAAAAGCAAAGAAAGGAACACAGCAGGACACAGTGAGACATTGGAATCAACAAGACTCTACCTGGTGGAAATCCCTGGGCTACGCCACGCAGTGAATGAGCAATGATTCTGCATTCAGCGCCATGTCCGCAACTGCGTTCAATTGGTCCTCAACCTTCTGATGCTTGGGCAAGATGGCAACGCCAGGTTTCCCAGAAAGCCCAAATTCGAGTCATTTGGCAACTCAGTCCTAACGTAGACTCTGTAGTTTGAGCCAACCGGGAGGGATTCTGAAGAGGCTACTACCCACACTTGCCTGGAAGAAAGTTAGCGTGCGATGCAGCGGGGCAGGCGGCCAGGGAAAGTAGAGCGCTCACAGGGAAGCGAAATGATGGGAAGCAAGCTGTGGTGACAAGGCTTCTGGCGATCTTTGAAGATGTGCGGAGGCCCTTGCGTGTTTGGAGACGTTGCACCCAGTTGGAAACCCTCACTCTCACGGTGTCAAGCTCTCGCCGAGCCACTGCACGGTCCTGAAGAGCATCTGAGACATCACGGCAGCTTCTCTCCTGCGCTTGAAAAAGCTCCGGGGTGGCTCACAAAGCAGACTTGATCTCTATCAAATTTCAACCTTGCTCACAGCGCCTGATCCTCCATTTGCAGCACTCGCTTGGATAACTCCTGCGCTGAATGTTTTGTCGCGCAGGCCGCTTTTGCATCATCCCGCGCAACTACGGGTGACAGATTCCACTTCAAATTGAATCACCAACTAAATCGGGTTGAACTAACACGCTAGAATTCCAGCGCACGACGACTGATACACAGTAACTGAGCGGAATCATTCTCATCCCAAGGACCTAGCGTTTACAAAACCAATACCCTTCAGCATTAAGCTTGCTTGGGATGAGTCACAAGCAAACCTTATGCCTATGAAATACGCTTTTGTTCACATGCGCTAAGCTCGCACATCATTGTGGCGCATGACGCGCAACCCATGTTATCCACAGAACAAAAGTAACTACATGGTCAGGCGTTCAAAAAAAGTATTTTGTTTAGCCACGGATAATAAATGATATGGACATAGATCAGGACAAACTTGCTAGTCTGCCCGCTACTGTTCAGCTCAAGCGCCACCGGCTTCAGGGTTTGCGTGGGTTTACGGCTCAAGGTGGCTTGATGTGGCTTGGTTTAAGATTTCATTCAAAGCGAGAGACGGGTCCACCAAAGCTAATTGCGGCTAATTGGGATAGCATTCGTGGTTTGCCTTACCATCGTTCCGCATCAAAGCCATCTAGCTCAGTGTAAATGCCCTTGACACGCGTTGACAGTTTTTGAGCATCTACAAATCCAAAGATCAGCACGAGGCAGCGCATCTCTGGCCTCGAGCCGCTGAAGCCATGCCCCGCCGGCAAAGCTGACAAATCTCAGATTCCTGAGCTCCTGGAGGCGTATTGATTGACGGCCTATGGTCTTCTCTGCCTTAGCCTTTGCCAGGGAAACCCGTAAATTTGAAGACATTCTCTCCTTGTAGGCGCGGGCCAGCGCCGCCTGGCATCCAACGTCTTGAGCGCCGATCTGCCCTATGCCTTTACCTTGAGGGGGGCCAGCCGTTGCGTCTGCTCCGCTCGCCGCAGAGCCATCTCCAAATGCAACCATAGGACCTTTGGCAAAACTTTTCGAGATTTGACAAATGCAAAGGCAAAGAACAAAAGAACGAGACGCAGACCCAGAACGGTCGCAAACTCTCAGTCAATAGGTCTCCCGACCTGCATCTCGTATTCTATTCAAGCAGCGAATGACGCAAGCCCGCGACACCACGTTCTGCAAGAAGAGCGCTGCAGGTCTGCTCAGCTTCGGCAAGAGGGACAGGCCTCACGGAACGCGCCAAGCCTCTGGCAATGCGTTTTCATGAGGTTGCAGAAACACCTCTTTGTCTGCTTGGGAGTCCTTTGTTCGGGTATGCTTTTTGAACCCTCCTTCCGAAAGCACTGGGAAGGGTGCAGCTGGTAAAACCGCTAGCCTTCTCGCGCAGCAAGATACAGAGCAAAAAGGACCAGAGAGCACGCGCAGAGCAAAATGCACGAGAGAACAGGCGCCGCAAATTCAACGAGAGAGCGCACGCAGCAGATCGCAGAGAACGCGCGCAGCAAATTGCGTGAGCCAACTTGCACGAGAAACTCGCGCGAGACATCTTGCGCATTAAACTTAGCCTCTTACGAAGGCGGCGCCGCGGGGCCACTCTGCAACTATGACAGCCTCTGCGTGCATCGGCGTGGTCGAGACTCAATAATTTGAGGTTTTGGTTTCTACTCTCTGCTTTGCCCGCGTGCCCCTCTGCGTGGATCTCCGTGGCCGATGTGCGCTGGTTGGTGGCCCTGAGTTGCCTGCGTTGAGAGCGACGCCCGCCAAAACTTGTTCAGGGCAACTTGCAGAGAGAGAGGGAGAGAGAGCGTGCGAGAGTTGCGCAGAGAAGCTTGCACAGAGCACTTGCGCAAAGAACCATGCGCCGAGCGCACCTAAAGAAACTTGCATCAAGAACCTGCGCAGAGACCGCTAGCACGCGCAACTTGCGCACTGACATCGACCTGCCAGTCAGCACAAGCGCAGTCCACGAAGCACACCAGCTCCAAAATCGCAACTTGGCAGCGCACGTACACAGAGCACGCTTTGGCGTTTGGCCCTCCTTGGCGAAACACAAGCGTGCCGCGTTCTGCCACTGGTTCTGGCATCCACCATGCGCGGCAGTCGGCATCCGTTGAAGAATCTGCCGCTCCCGGTGAAGCCTGCTCTCATCAACAGCCATCCAGCGCCGGACGCCGAGAGGCCTGATTGCGTAACCCACAAGTGTGTGAGACCCAACTTCCTGTTGATGTGCAATTAGTTCTCAAAGGTATTGGGCATCTCGATGTGGTCGTCGCGCTGCCACTGCTTGTCCGGACAAGCTATGACACCGACCCCGTTCTCTTTCTCCAGCTCTTCCAGGCTGATGGCCACCGTAAGAGGTGACATCAGCTTGCTGCCCAGCTCTTTGCCTTTGCTGGAGAGGTCCATGCGGCGCTTGTAGGAGCATGACTCGCTTCCGCTTCTCCGTGTAGTCGGCTTGCAAGTTCGAGGCTTGTGAGTTCGTGAACTTGGGCACCGCCATTTGGTGCTCGCTCGGGCTCGGGCCATCTGAGCTGCACCCTTGCCAGCTCCCACCGGCTCCGCTACCAGCATGAATCTGGTGTTGGTTGACTAGGTCAACGTCTCAGATGTAGTGCTCAGCAGCGCACCTGTTTCCACTCCGTAGCGCGGCTGCAGTGAGTCACGGGCCCCGCGTTGATTCTACAGAGCTAGACGGCAAATGCGCAGCGTGCATTTCACATTATCGTTTTCGTGCTCGCCTTGTTATATATATATATGTATATTTTTGCTCAGCCACAGGTTTGCTACCCAACAAGTTGTGCGTCTCCCAGCTGACAAGGCTCCTTCCCACGATCGTTATCTCCTTGTTAACTGAACATCGCTTGGCGGTAAATCAGGGCAGTAATTAAGACTAAACCTATCTCAGCGTTTTATGCAACCTCACATTGGCTCAGTTCGTCCCGGGTCACTTTGCTGCTCGTCTAGTAGCTCATTGACGTCATTGGCTGAGTGTCTCACGAAGATTCACCAACACGGGGCCAGCGCTTGAGGACAGCAGGATGCCTTCCTGAGGCTATTTTGAAACTCTCTTTCCTTAAAACTGGTTGAACAGTTGGAGAGCATGCTATCTCATGAATAAATAAGTCATGACTCTGTCAACAGTGGCTCTGGAATGTTTTATGAATATGCGACGCCAATAGTGACTATGCCACGCGAATGACTGAATATTTCATGAGTGTGTCATGACTCACCTTCAGCATGGGGCTGCACAGCGGCTGCACTGATAGAAACGCCGGGCGACCAGGAGTGTATAGATGTGGGCAAAACGAACATAGTTGAGCCCAGCATGAAGCTGGAAGATCCAAGTTTCTGTCATATCAAAAGCGTTTTCGTTGCCATACAACTTTCATTTGTGCCCCTGCAAAGAATGGCTGTCTTTGTCATTGCCCAGTTCTCCCTGCAAAGACACAAGCAAACGCAACCTTGACGCTTTGACACGTGCGAGCCTGGAGGCCGTCCGGCGCGAGGCCCAGATTGCTGTCGAACTGAGCATGGAGCGAACCGAACGAACCGAATGAACCGAGCCTTTCGGACAGTCCGCGTGGGCCCCCTGCGTTGTTCAGCGTCCACATGAGTTCGGCCCCGTGTGTGCGCCAACGCCAGGAACATCTCAGAGCACGCGTAGCTGTACACCCCAAAGCCTAGAAATAACGTGAGACTAACTTTACCATTCTCAGGATGTTTTCAGGCGTCTGCAGGTGGTTGTGAGTTGCTCGCACAGATGCAGCTGATTCGAGAGGAACCTCTGCAGCCTTAGTCTCCAATTCACTTGACCACTCAGCATTGCGCGTCTCTTTGCCCCTGGCCAAGATGTCACAAACTAGAACGCCGGGCAGCATTCTGCAGGCATGCCTTAAACAAGACATGCCAATACAGCCTTGAAGCATCTCAAAGCATCTAAGCGTCACGGCTGCATGCTTGGCCACAGCTTTAGAGCCTTCTGCCATGTGCTCTTCAAGCCTCGCGTGTGCTGCTTCCAGGCTCTCGCCCCTCTCGGAGGCCTGTCTTTCAGAACTCTCTCAGTCTCTCGAGAGTGTCAGTAGCAGGCTTGGCAAGGGCGGGATTCTGATCTGCACCTTTCCGCTCACTTGAGTCACTTGACTCACTTGAGTAACGCCTCACGGCCCGGATCACCGCCTGGATGTCGTTCGCTTCCAGAAGACGACGAAGTGTTGCCATCGCTTCGGGCGCTGCCTCTGCGAAGGCCCCGGTTTCACGTTTGGCTTCCTTTGGCTTTGTGTCAGAGGCATGTCTGGACACGAGCCTTCCATCCGCGCCTGAGAGTAGCGTTGCCACAGCAAAGCGCAGTGGACCCAAGCCTCATTCAGACTCATTAAGACAGGTCTGCCCGAACCTTCTGCTAAGTCGCCAACAGAAGCAGCTTGAAGACATGTGACCTAGCCAGCCCAGGCTAGCCAGGGTCGGGTTGGCGGTGAGCATTTGCACCAAGGGTCACCTCTTAGGGTGAGGGATGAAAAATTGGCATCAAAAACAAACTTATTTCTGAATCGAAGATCAACAAAAAGCTGATTAGGGATCAAAACCACTTATTCGCATTGATTTACTATTAAGAAGCAAAAATCAGAGGATCAAAAAACGTTTTTAGGCATCAAAAACACTTCTGCATGCGCAGCACTTTCGTATTCATTTGGCGCAGCACTTTCGCAGGGTCAGGTACATGTTTCGTGGCAGGCGCAGCACTTTCGCAAGGACGGTGCAGATTTCGTGGCAGGCGCAATGCTTTGCGCAGGTCAGGTGCAGATTTTGTGGCAAGGTCAGGCACAGACTTTGTGGCAGGCAGAGTACTGTCGCGAGGTCAGGTACACATTTGGAAGGAGGCGCAACACTTTCGCAAGGTGCAGTACAGCTTTCGCGGCAGATTTCGCAGCAGGCGCAGCACTTTCGCAAGGTCAGGTACAGATTTGCGGCAGGCGCAGCACTTTCGCAAGCTACGGCACAGATTTCGCGGCGGGCGCCGCACTTTCGCAAGGTACGGTGCACAGTTTGACGCAGGCGCAGCATTTTCGCAAGCAGTGAAGAAAAGATGCAGAAATAACATAACATTTAAGAACAAGAAAAAAGAAAGAGAGAGAGAGAGAGTGATCGAGGAAGTGATGATTCAGCAAAGGGTGCGTTAAGCTCTGTAAACATTCCAAAAATCAGGGGGGGGGGGTTGGGGGGGGGGGGGCGGCAGCCCCCCCCATGATGTTCGAGGAAGTGAATTTAACAAGGGGTGAGTTCAGCTATGTAAGCGTTCAGTAGGGGGGTTGGGGGCCCCCCCATGATGTTCGAAGAAGGATGATTCAACCCCATGATGTGATGAGAAGCGATGTGATGATTCAGCAAAGGGTGCGGCAATCTCTCCGGCATTCCACCCAGGGTGTTCGAAGAAGTGATGATTCAACAAGGGGTGTGAAAAGCTCTGTAAGCATTCTACAAATCAGCAGGGGGGTTGGGGGGGGGGGGGGGCGGCAGCCCCCTGTGCGGTAATCTCTGTAAACATTCTGAAAATCAGCGGGGGGGTTGGGGGGGGCTGCCGCCCATGATGATCGAAGAAGTGATGATTCAACGAAGGGTGATGATGATCGAAGAAGTGATGATTCAGCAAAGGGTGCGTTAATCACTATAAACCTTCTACAAATCAGCGGAGTGGTTGGGGGGGGGGCTTCCTTCCTTCCTTCCTTCCTTCCTTCCTTCCTTCCTTCCTTCCTTTCAGCGGGGGGGTTGGGGGGGGGCGGATCAAAGAAGCGATGATTCAGCAAAGGGTGCGTTAATCACTGTAAACCTTCTACAAATCAGCGGAGTGGTTGGGGCGGGGCTTCCTTCCTTCCTTCCTTCCTTCCTTCCTTCCTTCCTTCCTTCCTGCCTTGTTTCCGTGTCCCCATAGTTTCCGTGTCCCCATAGAAGTGAAAAGAAGTTTTTTGTTGATCCCTAATAAGTTGTTTGATCCCTAATATTATTATATATTTTTTTCGATCCCTAATAAGTTGTTTGATCCCTAATAAGGTTTGTTGATCCCTAATAAGTTTTTGTTTGATGCCTATCCCCACCTCTTAACCGGATTTAGCAGGTCTAAACGCAAAAAATGAGCCTTGAGACCCTGCATGGTGGTGGCCGCACGCACTGCCAGCACCAGCTCCTGGACGTGGCAAATCCCCCAGGCGACACAGACTGCCCGTCCTCTGCAATCGAGCGAATCGAGCTGCTTGCCTTGGGGTCCCAAAGGCTGACGGCATCGACTGTGACAATTGCAAGTCAAAAGGTCGCAAGGCTGACGCAGGGCTGAAGGGCCGAAGGGCTGAAGGGCTGAAGGGCTGAAGGGCAGGCAAAGAAGGGAAAGGAGACAGGAGCCTCCGCGGACTTCAGTAGCGTCGACCCAAAAAACCTGGCACTTTGTTGCTCACTTCGCTCGCACCCTGTGACTTTAGTGCCGTCATGCAGTAAAAACTTGCCTTTTCACCCTCATCGGCATCTTCAGAATAATCCTTATTCTTCACTATCAACACTACCGCTACTTGTACCTAACAAAACGCCACACTGTGCCGAAACTCGCTATTCAAAAACCCACCATGCAACAAAAGAGGCGTGCCCAGAAGATCCGATGTAGCATCATTTGTTGAATGTCTATTCGCTCAATCAAGAATGAGCTCTCAATGGGCGTCTCCTGTGGGTTTTCATGAGTATAAACAAAGCTTTTTTATGGAGCATCTCTTCAGTGTGTGGTCTGTATTTTATGCTTGAGGTTCCGAGATGAAATCGCATTACAGCCACCGAGCAGAATGCCCACCATCTTCTCTGGCATGTAGTGTGTGGGCGAGTTGCCATGATATGGATGAATGATGCAAACCAGTGTCAGTTCTCGTTCCAAATCGTAGATTAAGCATTCATCAAGACAAAACAGCTATGAACCCCACAAACGACTACAAGAGCTAATCATGCAACCATTGCCCAATAGTAGCAACCACATTGAAAGGAATTGAGAGATTGCAAAGCTGAGCAAGCACGAAAACAAGGCACACATGAGAGAACGCACGCTATGACAGTAAGTCAAACAACACATGCCAAACGCGACAAGTGATGAAACAAAATCGAGAGAGACAAGGCAAGAAACTAAACAGCAGCAACTTAGAAACCAGGGTCGCCACCCCAAGAATATGTGTTTCTCCTGAACCCAGATCGCAAATGTAAATTTTAGAACATTTGCACATGCGAACACCTTGGTCACCGACGTGTGCCCAAATCCCAACCCTAGTTTGCTTAGCATGGCCTCAGCTGCGTTGCGGCATCTAAGTGGCCAGGTCCCACGCTACTGAATGAGATTTGGGGCATTGCGCAGATGCTATGAACAAAATTCCGAGGCATTCCAACATTCTATCTCAGCAGATACAATGGTAGCTAGTACTGCTCACCGCAGCCTTTTTGGCGTTCATCCGAGCTACGCTACTGGCTTGGAGTTCAGCAACTGCAGCTCGGAGATCCTCCTCTGTCAGGCATTGCCTGTGCTTCATAAAGTCTTTCTCACCCTTGGGGACCTTGGAATGTCGCTGTGGGCATTGCTACCTCTGCCACCAATCAGCACAAAGGACAATGACACGCTCACATGACTCGTGTCACTACGCCAGGCGGCGAGATCAAGCCTTGTTGGAAATGCCCCGGTTCTGAGCCCCAACAAAAGCCAGGCCAAGGCATCCTTCTCTGCAGGCAAATTACTCGTTGCAAGGGATATCCTTAGAGCATCAAATGCATCAAATGCACAACTCGCTGTTGAAACTTGAAAAAGGATCTTGAATCCAAGTCCTGGCCAAGCCGCTGAAAGCCAGACACTTGATCTACCACCCACATTGCAAAGTTGTACGGCAACGCTGTGCACGCCTCAAAAGGCGCAGGGGGAGGGGCTCAAGGCATTGGGAATCGAGACATGCGCCTGTGCCAAATCAGCTGCCAGCCGCGGCTCAGGTTTGGAGTTATCCTCCGGCGCTGGCCGATGACAAGAGGCCAACCAATTGATTGTTTTGGGATCCCTTTCTTTTGACCGCTTTCTAAACTTGTAGCACGGCACACTCGTGCTGTGTGCCACTTGCTACCAATTCCGGGGAGCTGTGCAATAGATCTCTTTAGAGCTCGATAGAGCACTGCCGCAAAGGTCGCCAAACGGATGGATTTTGATGGATGGGTTGGAGCTTCAGGGCTTGCATAAGCATAAAGCTCCTTGGCTTAAGGTTGAAGAAAGGGAGGCAGGCTTTGGGCTTACCTGGAGATTCGCGGTCAAATACGAAGTTGACCAAATCTGGGATGGGTCTTGCGAACCACAGAATTTAGAACTCCATTGAGACCTAGTAGTCATAGTAGTCAATCAGGAGAACTGTGTTTTGCGCTACGAAATTGTATGCTCATTGAGCCAGCTCAGCGCTTCGTCCACGAATGCAACTGAAGTATACTGAAGTCCAGTGTGAACCATTTTGGCGAGGTGAGCTGCCTGGCCCAGCTGCGAGAGTTGAGCCGGGCCAGTCGCGCTGGTTAGAGCAACAGAGCAGTCGAGCCACCTACTCACGCAGTTGGGCTTCGATTGCGACACTCGGCACTCTTGCCGGTGTTCGGGGGAGCGGATTGATTGCGTCATTTTTTGGGTTGGTTTGGGAGCTTTCCCCAAGCAGCTTCTGAATTCATTGCTCTTGTCTCGTCACTTCATATCTCCCTGTTTGTGCTTGGTGACTCCCCGCTTAGTCTCCCCGCTTGTCTCCTTGCTTGCACTTGCTATCTCTTTGCAACTCTGGCAGGAAGACAAGGGACAAGCGCTGACAAGGTCCGAGTTGCCAGACACGCGCCACAAAGCATCGGCATTGCGACCATGTGTTAGGGTTTTGCGACTGTTTTGCGCTCAGGTTGCTTGCTGATTCGCGTGCCCGCACGGATGCCACGCTTCTAGGGCCAGGTTTGCGTGAAGCTTCTGAGGTGCCCGCCAGTCCGGAAGTCTGGCTATGGTAGCACTTGCAATTGCACACTTGTGTTTTTGGCGTTTGGCGTTTCGTAACATGGGAAACAACGCTGCAACAAGACTCGGGAGGAGTTGAAGCAGACTCGGCGAAGCGCGCAAGTACTCTTTGGGGCCGACCCTGGTGTTTTTTACTTATTGTGCAGTCACTCGCCCCCTTTTTGGTTTGATGCATGTTGATGCCTACACACGAGGAAGGCGCACCCATCACGGAAGTTGCGCAAGTGTAGACAACTGAGGGAAAGCGAGTGGGCCAAGGTCAAAGACAAAGATGAGTGAGGCAAGATTGAAGGTGCTAAAACAACCCGACAGACTGAACACCACGCGTGTTTTGAATGTGCGGTCTTCAACCTCAAAATCCGCAGATTTCAACTCCCTTAACCCAAATTGGTTTCCACTGCCCGAAGCCTCTGCCCGCGAGCGTTTTGTTCAACCTAGACCTTTTCTGCGCGGTCAGGCGCAGATCGCGGTCTCTATGCTGGCTTTTGGGCAAGATTTCATGTTTCCTGCGTTTTAGATTCTCAGCACTCGAGCAGACTCTGAGCAGACCTAGAGCCGGGCTTGCAAAGGCCTTCGCAGTGATCTTCGCGTAAGACCTGCTAACCAGCACATAGTGCTGAGCAGGTGTGCTTGAGTAGGTGCGCTTACTGTTTGGCAGGCGTGTGTTCACTGGGTTGCGGGCGCTGTTGCGAGGAAACGTTGCGGGTGTGCTCAAGAGGTACGCCTGTTTCGGGGTGTTGTTGCGGGTGTGCTGTCACAAAATACAAAACCACGCGTACGGTTTCCAGTCCGGTGACAAAACCAAGGCTATCTCGTGGTTTGCAACTCGCGTGATTTGGCTTTTCCAACATGAATGAAGTTAAGTATCAGCAAGCCTACAATGCAACCCGATAAGATGCAAAAAAAATAGAAGGTCCAGGAAAATGAGCAAATTCCGAGGTCATCAGTATCAGCGACTGGATTCGAGATTGAGTCGTGCCTACGTTGCCCTGACGCACATGGACAATGGATGGACAATGGCACCTCACGGCACCTCGCTCCTGGATGAAGTCTCTGACTTGCTTGTAAATTATAGTCTCCAGCTTTTGCAGCTCGCAGCGCTCATCCTGCCAAGCATCCGTCTCCGTGAATCCACTTCAAGAAGCTTCCTTCGAGGAACGCTTTAGGGTTCGGCCAGGTACGGAAAGGTGCGTAAATGAGTCAACTTCAAATATTGTTCAACCGGCACCTCGAGAAGATGTCGTAGAGCCAAGGCTTCCAGGCCACGTGGCAAGCGCTTGTACAGCATGGAGAGGCGGGTGACGTCCTACCCCCCGGCAGCCCCCGGCGCGTCAACTTTTTGGAATCGGGGTGTTTTTTTTCACCGTGTCACATCCTCACCTCCTCCTGCACAGCAAGGAGCAGGTCTTCTTGTGTGGGAAGAAGCGGTGAGCGTGTCGCCTGCGCTCGGCGCGCGCGAGGCGCTCGAGGCGCTCGTGGCTGGGGCTCCCCACCGACCCCAAAGACCGCCCGTTTGGCAGCGCTTCCATGGGGGCCTGGCATTGCATTTGCCAACATAGCGCTCATATGACTCACACATGCTCATATACATCCAGACTATGCCAGTGAGAGAAACCGCCAGGAGCTCCAGCATTTCCTCCAAGACCTCCGCCATCTGCCCTCTCCAGTTCCTGCCAGGATTTTTATCGAGTTTGGATCTGTTGGTACTACTTGGCGCTTCGGCCGCACCTCACAGCGGCAGACTCTGGGCAGGCATCCACCAACATCTGGGCCTGAAGGGGCACGGGCCAAGTGGGCCAAGTGGGCCAAGCGGGCCAGTGTGACCAATCAAAACAGGAAAGGTGCCAATGGCAATTCACAGCAAGGTGCCACTGCGGAAGAGCTTGCCCAGTGCAAAGGGATGTTGCCGTCCAAATCTCGCTGGAATGGATCTGCGCGTCTCCGCAGAAGCTGCCTGACTGCGTGATCTTGGCCCGCCAAGGATGCGCTGAATAGATGGTGGCCGAGAAGCACCTCGGGACATGAAACAGCAGCAAGAATTTATACAAGTATATATATATATATGTGGTACCACCCCCTGAACCCTGGTTTGGTGCGCTTGAGCTGTTTTTTTCCAGTGCTTTGTGCCATGTTTGCCTCGTTTCTTGTTGCAAAAAGCGGAGAATACGTATATAGACATATGCATCTTTCTGTAATGTAAGCAAAAATATCAACATCTGCCAGCAGAGCCTTGCTGCATCTCAGAGTGTTGGGACAATGCTAGAATTGTGTTTCTAAAGAAAAAAATCAAGATTCAAGAAGCTGGCAAAATTCCTTTAGGAAACGTGAATCTCGAATCCCAAATTTTGCATCTTTTTTGAAGCTTCCAGAGTGTCCCAACACCTCTAAGTGTTCAATACGTGCTTCTGCGCGCAACCATGTGCAGTCATACGCATTGAATCTGCAACCCTCCGGCAAGATTCTCGGAAAAGCTGTCTGTAGAAGATTTCAATCTTGAATCTTCAATCCGGTGGCGAAATACTTTTACGGTTTTAGAGCAACTTGAGGTTTTTTGCGGTTGGCCAGAATGGATGCTTCTCAGGAAAGTTGTCGTCTGTGCAACCTTCAATGTTGATGAAAGGTGTCACATTGGCACAGTTTGGAGGACTTCCGAGAATGCAAATCTCGGTTCACACTAAAGCCAGGTTTTTGGAGGGCACTTGGCGCCCGCCCTACGTCAGAGCAGGGGACCGGAAGTCACTGCAGGCACCCCAACCGCGCATGGGGCACGCCTAAAACCGAAAGTCACGGCAGGGCGCCGAAAAGTCAGAGCACGTGGCGCAAATCCGCATGGCACATCGCATGTCAACGTGCAACATTGGAATCTCAAAACCATACGTTTGATGGTTCAAAATGCAGTTTCTTATGCCACCAGACCCTTGGAACAAACCCTTAACGATGTGTCACTTATGCTTCTCTACTAGTCATCCCCTTTATGAAAAGACACCCTAGCTCCCAGTCATCAAAAAAATTGTTGAAAATCTATCTTGAACATGGCTTCGAGGCGAGGTCCAGGCGAGCTCCAGGCGAGGTCCATAGTTGGCCGGACAAGCCAATGGTCCACATGAACCGAAAACAAGCAAGCAAGCACGCACGCACGCAAGCAAGAGCAAGCAAAAACAAGCACAAGCAAGCAAAAGCAAGCGCGAGCAAGCACAAGCAAGGCAAAAGCAAGCGCGAGCAAGCACAAACAAGCACGAGCAAGCAAAAGCAAGCGCAAGCAAGCACAAGCAAGCACGAGCAAGCACGAGCAAGCACAAGCAAGCACGAGCAAGCACAAGCAAGCACAAGCAAGCAGAAGCAAGCAAGCAAGAGCAAGCAAGCAAGAGCAAGCAAGCAAAAGCAAGCAAAACCAACCAAGTGGTCAGAACATGCCTCTACCCGCAAGCGCAGGAGCACGCGTTGGGTAACAAAACTGCGTGGGAGCACCCGATCAGGAAAACTTCCCCAAAACAAACCCCAAGACTCAAACAATCAAGTTAAACTCGGTGCTTTTCAAAAAACCAAGTATAACTTAGTCTCACGCTTTGCCGTTTCCATTTTTTCGCGCGGCACGCAGAATTTGCACCCGAGCGCAGCGTGTGCAATTGCCGGAATCAGATGGAATTAGCCAATACTGGCGCGGAGACGCTGCGGCAAAGCCAAGTCCTAGTTTTCACGGATCGCCTGCGAATGCAGGTGTTGCAAACGCGCAGGCCAGGGCTCGGGTTCATGCTTGTTTTCCCTGCGCTTTGGCTCGCAACGTTTGCGGGCCGTCGAAGTGCCCTGACGATCGCACGCGCACGGCCATCTTACGCGCTATACATATGTACCAGATTGCTACGAGTCTGGCAACTTACTTGGTTGAGCGCATGAATACAGCAGTGTCGCCTTTCAAAACTATATTTGAGTTCTTGCGACCGCCGCGAGCAATACAAAAACAACAAGCAACCGCCAGCGACGCTCAGCAGGCACGTTCCTTTGAGCGTGTTTGTGTTTTGCTTGCTGCGCCGGTGGACCTTGCGTGTTGTCATTTTCCGAGTTTCAAAATGAAAGCCGCCAGTTCACGGCTCAGCCGCCGTTGATTCATTGGCGTGCTTGCAGACACAAAGTATGGTTGATTGCAACGCGACCCCGGCAGCTAGCACACGGTTGGCTCAAACTTTGGGAAGAGCGCCCCGTAGAAACAGCAAGGGCTAAATATCGCTAGCGCGAAGCTTTTTGATTTCTACCAAAACTTGGAGGCGCCAACTCGCTATAAACTGTTGTTTGTGTCTGCGAAACCCTTTTGCAAAAAACGTGCTCTTTGGCAAAAGTTTCTTGAAACAACCAAGGGCCCCAGCCCGACTACAAGCTGCAGCCCGCCCAAACTCACCTGGCCCATATGACTAGGCCATGACTTTGGGAAGTGCTTGGGCGAAGCTGGCGTAGTTTCGGCAGAGCATTCTGGAAGGCGCAGCGGGCGCCAGACAACCCACGGTTTGTTCGGCTGAAACCTTTGGCTGAAACCTTTAGATCGAAACAGTTTGTGGCTTTAAACAAAACGAGAACGCCAGTTTCCAACTTTGCGTGGGCGAAGTCTTTTGGTTTTGAAATAGCATTTGGCAGGAAATTCTGAAAATTGTAAGGAGCACTACTTCCCAAGTATACAGAAACTTCTGGAAGGGGTGGGGACGAAACCTTCCGGCTCGACTTGGTTTTCGGCAGGAACTTCTGGAAGGCCCGGGGCGGGGAAGCAGGTCCCAGCTATAAACTGCGGCTCACGCGCCGCAGCAAGAGGCGCCAGTTTCAATCTACCAACTGCACCTTGAGTGGCTGAGGTTCTGTTGGTTCACAACTAGCTTTTGGGTAAAGACTTGGCAGGCAGCAAAAGGCGCAAGCTTCGGACTGCGAGCTGCAGCCTACAAACTCGCATCCAGCTCAAGCAGAGTTTGAAAAAGGAAATTCTGCTGCCAACTACGGCCCCTTGTCCCCAAAACTCATTTGAAAAATAAACCAAGCGCTCCCGTCGTGCAAGCTGCAGCTCGCAGTCCGAAGCTTGCGCCTTTTGCTGCCTGCCAATTTTTTATCCAAAAACCAATTGTGAACCAACAGAACCTCAGCCACTCAAGGTGCAGTTGGTAGATTGAAACTGCCTGAACCTCCTTCCCCGCCCCGGGCCTTCCAGAAGTTTCTGCCGAAAACCAAGTTGATCGGTGCTTGGGAACTGGCGCCCCTTGCTGCAACCAATGGGGTTTCAGCTTGGCAGGATGAAGACCCAACGCACGAATGTACTCACAACAAACGATGTACATGGGCTTTATTCACTCCTCGGTGCCCGAAGTCTACAAAGGCCTGACCAAAACCATTCAAAATTATTTCACGAGCATATGGCCTGAAAAAACGTGTCAAGGATTCACGCACCTTTCACGGGAAAACTTGGCCTTTCACGCAAAAACTTGGCCTTTCACGCACCTTTCACGCACCTTTCACGCACCACCCCTCGCAACTGCCCATGTCAGCAATCTAAGTTTGGCCCCCTGCTCCCTTAACTTATCCAAATGGTAGGATTAAAGACGTTTTGTCTTGGACCGGCTTGTTCTAGCAAGAGCTTTTCAACAGGACCAGTTTGCTTGGCAAGGCATTTTGCAAATTTTGTCCGACTTCTCCAGGCATGTTTCTCGTCATGAAGCTGTTTGCCTTTGCAAGGAGTTTGACTGAGCCGATTTTCTTGGCAAGAGTTGTTGGTAGGGATCCAAAGTTCAGAATCCCGAGCCCCAACAGCAAGATTGCCGACCGCATCAACGAATAACAGGCAAAGAAACAACGAGCAAAATACGTGCCCTAGTAAAAGAATCCCGCTGCGCGAAAATCAGCAGCCCGACCACGAAGGCCAGTGACAGGCCCTGAAAAAACCCAACTGCTACCCAAAAAGGAAACCAAGAAGCTCTACTAAAAACAGCGCTTCACGAAAAGCAGCAGCCCGACCAAGCAGGCCAGTGACAGGCCCTGAAACAAATCCAGCTTCACAACAAACTAAAGCCGCAAACACGCAAGTTTGAAGCTCTACTAAAAAACACCTCACGAAAAGCCCAGTGACAGGCCCTGAAAAAATCCATCTTCACAAAAAAACAGCTGCACAGAACAAGCAATTTGGAAGCTCTACTGAAAAACCCCACTTCACAAAGATCAGCCCGACCAAGCAGGCCAGTGACAGGCCCTGAAAAAAATCAATCTTCACAGAAAAGGCAGCCACACACAACAAGCGAATTAGAGCCTGTGCTTGACAAAACACTTCACGAATAGCGACAGCCCGGCATAGCCCGACCAAGCAGGCCAATGACAGGTCCTGAAAACACCCAACTTCACAAAAAGCAAAGGAAACCACACAAGAAGCAAATTTGAAGCTCTACTGAAAATCCCCATTTCACAAAACATCAGCATCCCGACCAAGCAGGCCAGTGACAGGCCCTGAAAAAAATCCAACTGCTACCAAAAAAGGAAGCCACGCAACAAGCAACTTAGAAGCTCTACACAAAACACTTCACGAAAAGCAGCAGCCCGACCAAGCAGGCCAGTGACAGGCCCTGAAACAAATCCAGCTTCACAAAACAAAAAACGCAAACAAGCAAATTTGAAGCTCTACTAAAAAAACACTTCACGAAAAGCCCAGTGACAGGCCCTGAAAAATCCATCTTCACAAAAAACAGCTGCACAGAACAAGCAATTTGGAAGCTCTACTGAAAAACCCCACTTCACAAAGATCAGCCCGACCAAGCAGGCCAGTGACAGGCCCTGAAAAAAATCAATCTTCACCAATAAAAGGCAGCCGCACACAACAAACAAATTCGATTTTCTACTAGAAAGTCCAGCTTCACGAAAAGCAGCATCCCGACCAAGCAGGCCAGGGACGGGTCCTGAAAAAGTCCAACTGCACCAAAAAGCGGGAGCCACGCAGCAAGCAAAAGCAGCAACCGGACCAAGCAGGCCAGTGAGAGGCCCTGAAACAAATCCAA